AAATAAATCTCTCCCCCACATCTCCATCTCCAACCCCACAGCATCACACACACACCCCTTATGAACAACCCTTTTTTTTTTTATAAAAAAAAAGGGCAATGAAAAACCAAGTCCACTACGCCTTCCTTTCTCTCTCTCTCTCTCTCTCTCTCTCTCTCTCTCTCCGAACGACGACGGATGCGACGGATGCGATGGATTCGCAGAAAAGAAGTCGAATATTGTGTAACAATCTTTTATTGAAGGAAGAGGAAGAGGAAGAGGAAGAGGAAGAGGAAAGACTCAAAGAGAGGAAGAGGAAAAACCTAGGGAGCGAGTTAAGTTATAGCGTAGCGTAGCGTATCGTGTGTATATCGATCGGTGTCGATCGGTGTGGGTGGTCGAAATGGTGTCGATGATCCAGATACGGTACCGGTACCTACCTACCTACATATGGCCGGACTGAAACGAGCTAGCTAGGTAGCTAACCCTTTTCCCAAGTCGCAAGATCCATCGCAGATCGTTTTTTTCCCCCTTTAAAACCCTCTCCCAACTCTCTCACCTCATTCATGATCCACCGCGAATCTTCTAGGCGTTTTTCAATCGGTATGGCTGGTCAGGTAGGTAGATCGGCGGCGGCGTGGTGGCCGAGCGAGGGGAGAGGAGGGAAGGGGGGGGCTCGTGCGGATCGCCGGGGAGGGGAGAAATCTCTTCGAGAGGCTACCTACCGGTGCCGAGCTTAGTGCAAGTTCGGCGTGCCGGACGCTCTGGACCGCGGGAGAGAGAGAGATGGAGGTTCGGAGGAGGCACCGACCTCGTACAGGTAAAGGATCGGAGCCCTCTTGGAGCGGGAGAGAGGAGATATTCATGGTACATGTATATATATGTATATAGATATAGATCTATACACGTATATAAAGATGAATATACATCATCGAATTCGAAAAAAAGAGAAAAGCGCATCGATGCCCGCTGATGAAAAAAAATCTAGGTTGATCAAAACCAAATACAGAATTGAGAAAGCCGCCCTCTTATCTTGCTTGCGATATTGTAATCCAAAACGCCTTCTTAATCAACCCCCCCCCCACATCCATACTCTCCCCCCCACGGCCATTGCCATTGCGACTGCCCCATTCCCTAATAGTCATGAAAGCCTACACTGATGGATTCATTTGTTCATTCGTCGGTATCAATACATCAACACAAAGTCATCAAGACGCTTTGAACGCCTAACGTCCACCTGCACTAGCTTTAGCAAATTGGGTTTCATCTCAAGAGAGAGCTCGCTCTCGCTCTCAACGAGGTTGTTCTTACACGGTATCCGCATGCTTCATCGCTTCCTTCTCGTCTTGCAGTCCCACCGCAGTCTGCGTCTGCGTTTTCTTCTCCAGCTTGACCGTGCCCGTCGTCTCCGGCTGCTTCTCATCTCCTGCTTCAACGACATCTCCCTCCAGCCGGTCATGTAGCTTGACCACAGCCTTCTCCATCTCATCCTCGGTATCAACAGCTGGTGGACTCTCATCTTCCAGCCTGATAGGTAGGGTAACACTGCCATCACTGTCCGCACTTCCGACACTCACTTTCCTGCCCGCCGCGAGCGCAGCCGCTTCTCCAACCTCCATCTCATGCAACTTCATCTGCCGCTCTCCATTATCCAGCAGATCGTGCCCACTCACCACCTCGAATTCCCCCTCCTCCTCATCGCTGCTCTCCTCGTCCCCACTAAGCGAATTACTATCTCTCGAATCGGCAGATTCGCGGCGTACTTTGGGATTCTTGATGACCATGCCGGGACTCGAAGGCCGCGAGTCGGTGACAGCAGTGCTTTTGAAGACGCTTGTGCCATCGCTAGCTGTCGAATCTGTCTTCCGGTGATTACGACTACCACTGTTCCCCTCGAAGATAAGCGGTTTCAGCGTCGGGTCGAACTGTGCCGGCAGGCCTAACGCAGCAGCAACCGCGTGGGCTTCAACGTCTGGGGTGTTCGTAAACTCGATCTCGGGGGTGCCGGAGCCGGATTCGATTTCGTGCATCGCGAGGCCGGATTCTCTGAGTATGCGGGCGTAGTCTTGTCGCGACGGATCCGCATCTCGCTTCTTCTTCTTCTTGGTTCGCTTCTCCGTAGGTCGGACGACGACGACCGGGATGGGTGAGTATTGGAGACACCACTTGGAGAAGGAGTTCGACATGTTCATCAAGCCTTGGAAGCCCCCCAGACTGCGGCCGCGGGTGCCGACGATGAGCATTGCGGGTTCGTAGAGCTGGATCTGCAAGTCATGGATTAGCACACGTCTAAGAAACGGCGTTCCATGCTGTGCTTGCTTACTTACCATCTTCTGGAACACCGAATGCACCTTGCCGACCGAATACTCCAACACAATGCTGATGGCCCTGTGCTCGTCATTCCTGCTCTGGATCCTCTCCATCAACCTCTTCGCCTCCTCCTGATACGTCTTGCGATCGACGTTACGATCGCTCACCACCTTCGCATCCTTATCGACCACCCGCAAGCAGATCACCTCGTCTCCGTCATCCACGAGCTCCTCCAGCATCCAGCTGAGCGCGATGTCCGAATAGTCATTCTCATCCACGCCTACCATGAAGGTCCGCGAGCGCCGCTTACGCTGGTACCCGGTATGTTTGACGTTCAGGGTGAAGGAGATGCTGTTTTTGGCCGTCGGCTCCCCGCCCGCGAAGTTATCGAAGGAGACATGGTGTTGAAAGCGGCTGTTGGTTGTGTCTTGGGTCAGTGAGGTGGAGAGTAAATGCGTCATTGGATGCTTTGCCAAGGGAAGCAAGAAACAGAGCGAAGCAGGAACATGCGGATGATAGGTAGGAGAATGGGAGGTAATGAGAAGAGGAAGGGTGAGAGGAAGAGGAAGAAGAATAGGAAGAGGAAGAGGAAGAGATAGGAAGAGGAAGAGGAAGAGGAAGAAGGGGAAGAGGAATAGGAATAGGAGCAGAGAGGCAATATATCCACGAGCAGCAGCTTTGACTGAGAGAACGTAGAGAGAGGTGAAGTAGTGCCGGTACCTTTATTCTCTGTGCTAGTTCACCGCCGACGAGCGATTTGCCGTACATACTTCCCTAGGTACGGACTACTTGCTGTACTGAGCAGAACGCGGGGTACTGCGCTGCGCTGCACTGCACTGCACTTGCACTGCCATGCCCTGCACCAAAGCCAATGCGGCAAGCGAAGCGCCCCCAAGAAATGGAGCAGCAGATCATCCCAGATCATCCCACGCACGCCTTCTTGTCTCACTCTCCCTCATCCTTATCCTCATCCTCATCCTCATCCTCATCCTCTGCCTCTGCCTCTGCCTCTGCCTCTGCCTCTGCCTCTGCCTCTGCCTCTGCCTCAAACACCCACGCAGAAAGAAAGAAAGAAAGACAGAAAGACAGAAAGACAGAAAGACAGAAAGAAAGACAGGAACTCACGGCGAGGGCGGCGGACTCCTCTCCCCCCACGTCCGCGGTGCCGGCTTCTTCTTCTTCTTCATCAACCCGTCCGCGCCCGGGCCCGCCGCCGTCGGGCCGCCCCCAGCGCCGCCCTTCAGGTTGAACGAGATGCTGCTCACGGAGCCCACGCGCGACCGGCTGGCGGGCGGGTGGGTGTAGTCGGCCTTGACGTTCTCGAGGATCGGGTCCAGCGGCGGGGACTTGAGGCTGCTGTAGCAGTCGAAGTGCGCGCCCGGCAGGGTGAGGGGTGAGACGGGGGGCGAGGACTTGGGGGAGGGCATGCTCAGGATCGTGGTCCGCATCTTCGTCGCCGTCGTCGTGGGAGCGTAGGGGAGCGAGCCCTCGGCGGAGGACATGGTTGGATATATCGATGGGGTGGTATGATGGAATGATATGATGGGAAGAGATGGAGATGGGGAAGAGGGCGTCACTGCGCCTAGATACGGATAGTTGCAGAGTCAGCGGCCAGAGATCAGAATTTGAGGATAAGTAGGTACCGTAGGTAGGTAGGTAGGTAGGTAGGTAGGTAAGGTAGGTAGGAGTCGCGATGGAAGGGACGGGCAGGAGGCAGGGACGCTCCTTGACGGGGGAGAAAGAGAGATGCGCTGGGCTGGCCTGGGCTGGCCTGGCCTGGGATGAGATGAGATGAGATGAGTGATACCGGTACTTACACACAGTACCGGTACCGCAGCACAACTTTTATTATTAGAGTACCGGTACCACATCAGCTCCCTCAACCCCGGATTACCTGAGACGCTACCTGGTTATCGCACACACATCCAACGTCCAGAGTATACTTCTAGAAACGCAGATAAGTGGTACCACTGCCATCTGGTGGGGTGATGGGGGTAATTGTTTGCATCCTTCTCATCCTTCCGTGGCTCTGCAAAGGCAAAAAAGCAAAGCCTTTTTTTTTTCTTTGGCCCTGGGCAGGAGTTCGGGCCCGTCCCGCCAGGTCACTCATGTCATTTCACGTCTTGGCAGAACTCAGCCTCCCTCTTCCCGGCCTGGCCTTGGTTCTGCGAGATTCATGGTCAGAAGCAGCTTCAACGCATCATCTTCATCTTCATCATCATCGTCATCTTCATCTTCACCTCCACCTTCACCTCCCCCGTCACCGTCACCGTCACCGTCACCGTACGCGTGCCGAGTCGAAAGGCACACTTATACGTTCCTCTACCTTCTCTAGTCTAGAGCTACGCTTCTTGCCAATCGGGTTCCTACACGATCGCTTCTACCCCGACCTGCCCTCGTCACATGGCAGCGCCTCGGACATGAATAGAGATCACCACCACCGCCACCCGTCGTCCTTTCCGCTTTTCTTCCCTTCAACGCCAGCCCATGCAAGTTAAAGCACTAAATTCCATCCCCGCAAAACCCGACCGAGTCCAAACGGCGGGAAACCTATGGTGTGTATGTGCGCGCCAGGTTGCGGAGGTACCAATCGACAAGCTTGCGCCCAACCTTGGCTTCCGAGATGTGGATCAAGTCCTGGCCCAGAGGTTAGCTAGAGTCATGACGGTTGGCTTGTTGCGGGGGACAAGCTTACTCCTTGCATGGCATAGTCCAGATCGTTGGAGCTGACTATCTCACCGTCCAAGAGCCCGTTCTCCGCCCATCTGATCTGTCGGGTTCGCTGCTTATTAACCAACAGCCAGCCGCGCAGCTTCTCCGGCTCCACGTCGAGGAAGCCCGCCAGCTTCGTCAGATCCATCGTAGTGTAAAGACGGAGGTATGACTTGACGGTGGGGTTCCACATGTTGGTCTTGACCTCGTCCATGAAGATCGACAGGTGGTGCTCCAGGGGATCGATGTTGAGCTCGGGGTTGTCAAAGTCCGGAGGCGTGGGCGAGATGAACTTGGGACACGCAGAGCGGAACAGCTCCTCATAGATGGGGAGGGCCTCGGGTCCACCGCGTTGCAACTTCAAGAGCTGGTCACCGTACTTCTCGCGGAGAGCAGTGTGGATCGTCTCGTCGAGTCTGGTGGGGTGGAAAGCCACGCAGATGGCGATCAGAGCGTACATCTGGTCGTTCTTCTTCGAGATGGAGTCGTACTGGGCGTTCTTCTGGAAGTTCTTGGTGCGCGAGACGTAGATCAGGATGTGGCTGAACATGCGCATGGCATCTGCATATCGGCGCATCATCATGTAGGAGAAGCCCACGTAGTAGTAGGTTGTGAAGTGTGCGGCCATAACACGCGCGAACATAGCCTTCTTGTTGAGCTCAATGTCATCCAGGGTCTTCAGCGCAAGGCTGAAGTCTCCGAGGAGGCAGTGAACCCGCAAGAGACCAATGATGGAGAAGTATCCAAGCATTCTGTAGAGGGACTTGGATCCGTAGTCGCCTGCTACTGCCATGGGCTCCTCGTTGCGCTTGATAGCCGCCAGTTGCTCGTTGATCTGCGATCTTTGGATGAGGGAGTAGAGGACATTTAATACGCTGTAGCAGCCCCATGTGTTTGGTGCTTCGCGGAGGATGGTGATTTCCTCTTCGTTGTCAGCCTTGCGCGCGATACGGTTTCGGTACGAGCAGAAGGAGTTGAACTGGTAGATGAATTCGTCGATGACGTCCCAAGCCCAGTAGTACTGGAATCACGGTCAGCGAAAGCCCAATCGTACACAGAGTCTGCGAGGAGCGCACCGAGGGTGGTTCAAGGTCGACTGGTCCCTCCGAGTTCAGGATGAAGTGGAACAGGCTGCAGTAGTTATCGTAACTCGCAAACTTGACCTCGAGGGGGGCAGAGAAGTCCAGCGGTTGCGCAGCGGCAGCGAGTCTGCTCTGGATGTCGTCCGTCTGTTGTGCCATGCTCATCTGGTTGCCCTCCATGTCGTCCATGCCCTCGTACTGAACCTGCTCTCTGTAGTCGGCGGCGAGAGCATCCTCCTCGATATCGGAGTCATCGTCGATATTTCGTGCCGGAGCACTGCCATTCTGGAAGGCGCTCATCTTGGCTCGTGGTGATGTTGTCGCGGGCGTCGAGCTAGCTGGTGTCGAGGTCGTAAGAAAGAAACGTGGAGGGGTGATCGATAAGTAGCCTCAAAATTCCGCGAATCTTTTTTTACCCCTAACGACGATTAACTGGCAACGACTCCTCCGAGCGCCAACTCTTCTCAACCGATAGCTACTTCCAGACCGAAATAGGAGCTTGTCTTTTGATTGATCAAAACCTCGTCAATTGCAGAATTATCAATACTATATAGCATGTGGTCTATCCAAGTTCCATTCTCCAATTTTCTCTGCTTGAGTGGGTCACGTGTTATGGGCTGCTATGAATTTGTTGCATATCGGCTTTGATGTGTTCTTGGCTTATTATTGCTATTGTTTGCATTCTTTATTAATTTTATACATGTATCAGCTCGTTACCAGTGTTATGCCGCTCTTGGAATGTATCCGTCCTATATGCCACCATCAGAACAATCCATCATTGCTTCGAATGTCCTTACTAAAGCCCCGTTGGGTAACTCGAAAAAATCGCATTCAGAGGCTCGTATTTCTGATCAACAGAAGCTTCAAATTCAGCGTTGATCTTGAGCATTCAAGACGTATAATATCAATCACGATTGCCGGCAATTGCCAAAGGCAGCCTCCAGGTCTGATGGTGAAATATATCCCACCACCGGAGAAAACGCCTCAGGAAAACTCGAGAGCTCGAAGACCAGGTATGGAATCTTATTTAGTCCGCCAAAAGCCCTCAAACAGCTTCGCTCCGTTCAAAAGTTCAGAGGCTCTACCACTCTGCCTCAAGTATCCAAACTCCAATCCGCGCCATAACCTGGACGTCAACAGCTGGCGATATCAACCTCAACCGCCTGGGGTGCTTGCCGGAGCATTCCTCCTGATCAGAACACCTCGTAGGAGGGAGGCGATGCCGATGGCTGGAGGAGTAAGCAGTGTTGTACCGTGAGGGAGGTATATTTGCGTCTTCCATGCAATTCTAATGTTTCATCATGGTTTGGCTGATGATCACAGCCTTCTTGGCCTTTTCATTCTGTGCTATTCTTTCTAAACGGAGGAGAAGGAGGATGTTGTAGTCGGTACTGGACACTGGGCATATCTCGCCAGATTGTTGTGTTGCGTTTAAATTAATTGGGTGCTGATGCCGGACACCTCACCTGTTTTCCTCTCGAGCTGGAAGTCTCGAGTGTTCAGACCGTACATATCCAGTCAATGCTGTACCTCTCACCGACTTACTATACGTAGGGGGCATCTGTATTTGGTTAACAAGCCCTGGCGTCGGCGAGTGATTTGGCTGGCGATGCGGTGCGTGGATCACTAGTATAGTCTATATCATTAGTACATACTTGCAGTCTAAATCCCACCCCTCTCGAGTTCCTATTCCATAACTAATAAAGCGAAAGAAAGCGCAAATGGGTAGTTACTCGTATAGTTGTGTAGTTGTAGTATTTCATAACTCCTCCCACCCAAACCAAAACAATCTCTTGGCGAGCTGGGGGGTCTCACCGGCTCGACTTGCATGCTCAAGCCCGTTCCGTATGAAGCTATTCGAAACGACGCGCAGGTAGTAACGCCTATCCCAGACCGACTCCACCAAAGCCAGGTATTCCGACACGAGAGCCCACGAGACAAAAAAAAAAGCTTCGGTTGGGTCTACCGGTACCTAGTAGCTGCGGATCGGAGCGAATGCTTTTTCTGACTTCACTCCCAATTAATTGAATTGTTTGTTTGACTGCCCGATCTGCAATTCTGAGCAGCTTGCGGAATTCATCGATACCCACAATCTTAAAGCTAGAGTCGTCATCTTCTTTCTCTCTTTCTTTCTGTTTTCTTCTTCTTCTTCTTCTTCCATTCTTTTTCCTGGGCCCAATAGTATTGTCGCGCAATAGTATGTACACACATAGGTACACACTCATACACGCATGCATAACAGATCCTTTCCTAAAGATTCTAAAGGAGGGTAACGGTGAGAAATGTACACCTCGACTATGAACCACCCTTCTTCCGTCCACCTAGTCGCCGGTTACCTTAAATTTAAATCGAAAAAAAAAACCCCCCGGACTTGCTGCAGAGTCGGTTCGATTTTGTAAGAATCATTCAAGGTAACTATTAATTATCTAATTAAACACGCCGAAAAAAAAAAACGAAAAAAAAAAAAAAAAAAAACGTAACCTATAAATAAATTAAGAATCCAATGAATTCATAGCATGTTTATCGCATAACGATCGAAATTTTATTCCTCCACATTGTTCCCTGCCGGACGGGCTAATATTTGTTTGTTTACAAACTAGTTTGGTTCTGGCTCTGGTTCGGAGATTGGATTGACTGGGTGATCATGGAAGGGGGGTGTTCCCAGTCGCCAAAATATATATACATGTATATATAAAAATGTAAACAATTATTTGGCATTCGCAATCTCGATATTGATTAGGAGTCACGGGGAGTGCGTTCCCATTTTGTCTTCCGTCGTGCATGGTCCTTCATTTATTTATTTAGTCAGTTACCGGGGAAGAGAATTGGATGAATGGGTGGCTCGGTGTGTATGTGTTTACTGTGAAGGTGTTTGTTTGTTTTGGGCTGGTCTCGACTAGTCCCAAAATTCAAAATCCTCAAGTTACACGGGGGGAAAAAAGGATGGTCGGAGAGGTTTTCAATCTCAGATGATGTGGACGTACGAATAATCTTTTGAAGATCGCTCAAATTCAATTCTGATAATAAATGATTTTATCTATACAAAAGGAACAAAAAGAGATCGGTGAGTCGTCAGATATATAGCCAGGTAGTGGTACCAACCGTTCATTACACCCAAACACCCTTCCTTCCTTCATCCGTCCCAACACCTGAGTCCGTCAAACCCCCGAATTTACAACTGAATGACCACCCGCCCTTGTCCGATACTGCCGCGCCGTTGATAGAAGAGATCAGGTCGGCTGGGCCCCTTCTAAGACGAGGTCGATTGGTTGGCATCTTTCAGGTGGGATATTCCCTGCATCTCCTCGCTCTGATCCCTGGTTGGGAACACGCCCTCACCAGTCTCTCCCTCCTTCCGGTCTCTGCTCCGGATGAAAGCCCAGGCGATGACCGCGATCCACGCTACGTACATGACACCGGCAATGGCGCCGTAGGCAATCTTCTCACCCTTGTCAGCGCCCGCCAGTTTCAGCCCGAGGCCGCCGTTGATCACACCCAAGAAGATGAGCGCCCGACCGAACCACACGTGGGGGTACGTCGCGGTGTTGGGAGAGCCGGAGGACTTGTAGAGCTTGTGGTGGATGAAACCCGTGAAGGGCTGGATGACCAGCCCGCAGACGACGACTATGCCGATTCTGGAGTGGTTCTCGCTCATGTAGCCGTCGGTGACGGCCAGCCAGATGCCCATGCCCATGCAGGAGATCGCCAGCGCGTAGGTGAAGATCATCCAGCCGGCGTGGATCCAGAGGAGGCCCTTGATGCTGAGGATGCGGATGGCGATGGCGCCCAGGGGGTACATGATGGCGAAGGCGATGGCGCCGATGATGGCGTGGGCCCTGAGGACGGCGTTGAAGTGTGAGGGCTTAGATTCCTCGGCTTCGATGCTACCGGCTGGGGTGGCGCCGCTGGCGAGGACTGCAGCCGCAGATGTGGTGAACGGGTTCTGACCGTCGCCACCAGCAGCCATTGTGAGATCCCAGGTTGGCTCACCGTAGTTGCTGTGCTCGGCGCAGCGGATAGTCAGGCTGTCAGACGCAACGGGTGCTGAAGTGTCCCAGGCGTAGATCCATTTTGAGGCGGGATCATTGAAGTTCATAGATCCGCCCGGCCAGCTGGCACAGTTTGAGCCTGGATGGGGTTAGCGAGGCCCTCCTGATAATCATCTTCACCTGCACTTACACTTAAAGTTTCCGGTCATGATACCATCGGAGATGCCTGAGCCGGACAGAAGAGTGACCTCGGCAGTAGTGCCAGCAGGATCTGGGTCTACCTCGCCGACACCGAGACGTGGGGATAACGTGACGTTGGTTCCCGCTGCGTTTGAGTACATCATAAACAAGTTGGACTTCGCCAAAGTCAGCATGGGGTGTTGCTACGCTGCGAGCATCTGAGATGATGTTTGGAGATCCTCGGCTCTAGAGCTGTCTTTGGAACCGAGAATCCTGGTGGGGGTCTTGCACATACATCGAACATTGTTGGTCCTTGACCGATACCAATCCATCCTACTGTAGTAGGAGCACTCATCTGTATGAAAATGTCGCCAGTTCCGCTCGCCGCGGTAGCTGTTGGGATGCTGATAACGAAGCATACATCTCCATCACATGTGGTAAGACCTTGAGCCACGGTGCTCGACGCTGACAGAGAGTAGTTAGCATAACTGCTGGATAAGTAGAGGAGAGAAGACCATACCGAGAGCTAACGCTCCTAAAGTATTAGAAAATCGCATATTGGAAGAAAACTAGATATAGGAACTGAGTGAAGAGACCGGATTGGGAACTGGACTTTAATGTACGCTGCTGCTTGCTTGCAAGTCCAACCGAGGGGTACAGTAGATATATAGTCCTGTCAACCAGATCTGGGTTAAACTAGAGCGAGTGCCCAGAAGAAAAGTCTGCCGGAGCTCTGTCAACTTTGGGGAGAGAGACATACACAAGCAGAGGGGCTTAGTCCAAGCCCAGCACCGAGCCAATAGCCATCTGGGTGTTGGCAAAGTTAAGCAGGAGTCCGTGTACTGTATTGCAGCTAGATGAGAATGCCGAGCAGCAGAGCCATGCCTGCCAATACCTGCCCGAGACCAGGGAGGCTCCTTCCAGAGCAAATATTGCCAGAAATCGTAAAGCAGAGTCAAGAGATACGCGTCGTGGTCTAGGCTCATACCAAACCGCTGGACAGAGTTCGAGGCCGGTCAAGAGGTGTTGGCAAACATAGGGTACAGGGTAGTACTCTATTTTATTATAGCTTTGGACAAGACATCTCGCGAAGGGTGGACCTTGCCAATTGCAACATTGCGGACTTTAGCACGAGTCCGAGGATGAGCATCATGCTTTCAGGATCATTGAGCCAATGAGCTCTAGGAGATCACTCCTATCCCGTACGTAAACAAACTCCTCACACGGCAACTTGCCTTTGACCATTGTCAACAGATATTGAAACAAGAGAACTTTCTTCCGGACCGCAAGCTCAACAGGAAATCCGCTTCGACGGGCTTGGTCGGCCGTTTTTTTAGACACGGACCTCATCTCGATCTGATTCAATTGCAAGTCAATAAGGTAGAAAAAGTACGGAGCCATACCTACCGGTAGTGCTTCTACGTACGGAGCACCATACCGTACCGACCAGTACCGACAGAGCTAGGCACTAGGAGTATTCTTTGTCCCTGGCTCATGGATACCTCGCTACTTACCCAGATCTGGGGAACATGACAAGGCGTCCCAGTGAAACTCCGCCCGTTATGCCCCTTGCCTTGAAGAAACGATGCGTCTCGAAGAATAGCAGTTTTCCGCGTACCTCGCTCCCTCTCCCTTCTCCCTTCTCCCTTCTCCCTTCTCCCAGCTCGCCCTCTCGCAAAAGTGCCTTGGTGCGAGTAGTGCTGTCTGTACCTGCCACGAACCCCGTCATCTGTCATCTGTCATCTGTCATCTGTCATCCCATCTGATAGTTGTACTACGTAGATCGGAGCAACTGTCGCTGCAACCTGCGCACTAATCAACACAGCCCGCGAGAGAAGATGAAACTTTTTCCGTGTCGCGTGGCAGCCAGGGCTGGGCTACGTAGGCTGGAGGCATCGGGGAAATCGGAAAATTTTTCTCATCCTCGGGTTCTGGGTCGAGCAGCGCCTCGGTCATTACGAATGCCGGTGTCGTCGCCTACACTTCACACTTTTTCCTCTTGGCCCGTTTGGATAAACCTTACCGCGAGTATACTTTCCGCTTTTCGTATTCATCAATCTATACGGTGGCAGTTATTGGCGGACTTGTATTCTTTTCTAGTAGAACCCCCACAACTACCGTATATTCTGTATATATATATATATAGATATGCACACGTTTTGTGTCTACTTTGGGACCCTTAATAAACCCAAATTCAGCCATGGGGATGTACTGGTGTAACACCCTGCGACTTGTAGAAGCACTTCATAAAGGTACTTCTACAAGTACGAACTGATTTTGATGTAAGATCCCCTGTAGGCTCAGTACTGCTCGCAGCCAATACTATCGCCCCCTTAAAATAATTGTCAGCGTGGCCACGTTGGCACAGACCAAAAATATACTGTAGCAAGAAACTATCCGTGCCACTCTTGGGGTCCGACCCTGATTTCACGGAGAGCGATACTACTCCTACAAGTAGTACTTGTACCGGTACTCTGTAGCATATCAAAGTATAATTCTATGAGCGACGTTCTGCTACGTACAATACTTGTGCTTGTACGGAGTAATCTAGATTCTCACGAGTGGTAATAGGCCGGTAGGTAATAAACAGCGCAGCTTTCGGACGATCCTGCTTCCTTTCCCCTTCTAAGGAACCGAGGCAACGTACAAAAATCAATAGCGCCGACGACTCGATTCGACGACTTTATCAAGGATCTTCCTGTGGAAACTGCAGTGGTACTTCCAGAAAGAGTCTTCGCTATTGATCATGATCTTCTTCTAGTAACCTCCCTGTCCTGTGGTAAACAACCGTAAAATACTATAGTGTATCGGAGCCTGCGAAACCTTAACCTCAGCCTCAGCCCCGTCCCGGGTTCGGCGTCGAAGGGTTTATTTCTAAGGGGGTAGGTAAAACGTACAAGTACCTCTAGGTCGCACCAACAAAAGTCAATAAATACTCGAGAAAGAGGCTCCGTTTCAAAGAGCTTGAGGACTGAGCACTGAATAGCGCCCTTTCATAGAAGAATCTGGATGACGAGAAAAGGTGATCCCGTAAAGATATACGATGAAAAACGACTAGCGTAGCTTCAAAACAGGCTGCAAACGTACGATGCAGATCTTGAATAGAAATCGTGATAATGACTGGCAAGTGGAGTTGGAGTTTGTAAAAAATCGCTTCTTGAAATCTGAAATCCGGATTCTGAAAATCAAAACCGATTGGGGCTATTCGGAAAAGCGCAACCCATTGTTACTCGGACGTGAAACAAATCGTACGATTATAATAAAGATTTAATCTCAAAAATAGAATTGGGTTGGAAACGCTGTAAGATATCGAAACTTCGAATTCCAAATTGACATTTTCGCACCTAAAGGTGCCCCTCGGAGCTCATGCGCTTTGCCAAAAGAATGTAGCTGACTAATCATACCAAAACCGACTAATTTGAATCGAGCGGCAGCCCACAGAAAAATCACTTATCCGATGCACTCAAAACGACCGTGTCCCTCTGGAAAATTTCAAGTAGGGAACGTTCGATTTGGCTGAGTCCGAGTGCTCAGCTCAGTAACGGCGAGTCGGCGACAAGAGGCTTCAAACAGGATGAAAAGACTTCACCTGCAGTTTCGCTAATTAAGCTCGAACTGACCGAAGGCTTATTGCCAAAAAGTATGTACCCAACTAGGTAGGTACAGTACTAGCGATGTTACAATGCATAAACCGTAAAATTATGCGAGTCTTATCAAAATTCGTTATTGAATACTTAACGACTAGATAGCTTATAATAATGCGATTGAAATAATTCTTGAAATTTCGAATTCGTAAAAATCTTAGCATTTTTATAGAAAAAAAGGATCAAAAAAACTCGATCAATACAACGCTTTAGTACTTGGTATGCCACCCTTTTGCTTCGATTACAGCTTCAATTCTCTTTCCTATTGATAACTATAAATTATTAAATAACAATTCATCTTAACAATCCTAAGCTGCTTATAAACAAGAATGTAATCGTGCCCGAGCTTCTTTTGAATTCCTTTTATCGGCAGCGATATCGGGAAATATCTTCACGACTTTTTCCTTCAAGTGCTACTCATAATGCTCGATCGAGTTAACATCGGGAGAGAACGGTGACCAGTCTTTTAGTGAATCGATCCTTCGCGCTCGAAATTGAACCTGGACTGCTCAGGCCGTGTAAATAAATTTATAATCTTATCTAGATTTATATTTGTTTCCGTTCGCATTAAGTCGTTCGAAGACTGGATCGCCTTCAGCGCTAAGGACTTTCAAGTAGCTTTTTATCGAATTGTCAGGAACCAATAGCTGAATAGCTTTGATACTGGACTGAACGGGCCAAAAAATTCATAATCCCTGAACGCTTCTCCAGAAGCTATTTCATTATATATACAGTAGAACGCTAGTCAGCTCACCTGATTAAGCCTTCTACTCCTGACATTACCCCCTGCTAGCACCTGACTCCTGGCAAGGGCACAACCGCTTACTCACTGCCTCAAGCACAGATTTAGGCGAGAGTTACGAAAACGTGTCCATACGCGCAAGCAGTCATTTACGTAGTACTAATACGTATCTAGTCGTACACAACGGCATCTCCCCGTTCAGCGGTGGCCATACGCGCAAGCGTGGATTATTATTAACTTAAAATTTAACCATATGATAAGCATATCATCGTTTGCGATTTTCTTACTCGAGCTCCTCGCTTCGCGGGGCGTCTCGGAAAGAACCCTCGGCACCACGAACGCTCAGAAGTGGTTCAAGCAGTTGTTCTCAGTTATTCTGTTAGGAACCAATTGAACAATTTTACAACTGGGCTGGACGGGCTAAAAAGGCATACCAACTGAGAACGCTTTTTGTTCAGCTATTTTACTATATATAGAATGCTAGTCAGCCCACCTGATTAAGCCTTCTACTCTTGCTACGAATACTTATGCTTCTTCGACTCGAAATCTTAATTTATAATATATAAACCGGATCTTTAAATATTCCAAAAAGATGCGTAGGTTATAACTTTGATATTCTTTTTTGCACCTTAGGTTTAGATCATCTATCGTTGCTGTTTTTAAACTAACCTTCGAAAGACTTATTCGTCGTTTTTACTCCGCCTTCGGTCGATGGAATACTCATTGCTTTATACTATTAGGGCTTGATCTTTTGCAATCTAATGTCGTCGTTCAAAACACTAAGCAAGCCACTTATTAAGATTCTCTTAGATAAGAAACGGTCTGCGTTTAGCTTTCCAGATGCTTATTCTAGACTTCTTCAAAATTCTTGCTTTTATATCCTTTTCGAAACTGAATCTATACGCTTTTTAGACTTTCTTATAAGCATTTTTCGGATGTAATCGAATATACCGAAGCAAAAGACGTTTATCGGCATTAGTGTAACTTCTCTTTCGAAGCACACGAGGTAAATAATAGCTTGCGTAGCGGAATAAGTCGCGGCGAATTGTTCGATGAACCGTCGAATATTCAAGACTAAGCTCTTTTGCGATCTCGGAAAGCCTTGCGCTGCGTGCAGCTTCGCCGGCAATAAATCCTCGCATATAAGGGCTAAGGTGCTCTCAGGAAGCCGATCCTCGGAAAGTGCATCGAGAAGCCTACAGTATAGTAGCAAATTTGAGTTGTAATGTCGATAGTTTCAAAGGGAAAGAACGTGATTCGCGAAACTTCGCGGTTTTATGCATTATCTGTTCGGCCCTATTGTACCCAATCTCAGCTGGGACTGTAGCACAGGAGTTCGTTTGTTCCCCACCTCGACAAAGACTTCGGGGGAAGACTCGTTTGATGCTTTTATTTTGTTCGTAAAGGTTTTAGGAATAGCTGTAGCTGTAGCTGTAGCTGTAGTCGTAAGGAGCTGGCTGTACGTATGCATGACATGGCAGGTACCTATATACTTCGTACATGGGAATTAAAGGTTGCCTTAGCGTGTGGGGGCCGGCTCGCCATAACATTTGGCCGAACCCGAAACGATATCACCAACAGTTATTTTTTATCTCGCCTTTCCTCCCCTCTTCTCAGTCAGCCTACTTTTTATGCATTCAGCTGCTGCTACTCCGGTTTATCAGAACCCGTGTACTTCTTCACTATGGCTGGCACAGTCACTCTCGACAAGGCCTACTTTGAGACTCTACTGAGAAGGTAAGCGCGCGCCTGCCCAGCATACCCAAGCAATTGCTAGAGATAAGCTCGTGCTTGACATGCGGAAGAGAGCTAACTTCTCAAGGGCACAATTTGTACGTCCCAAATCCCGATGGGCTTACGTCGCGCAACGGATGCTGTCCGGATGGACGTTGATCTTGTGTCTTAGCATACCGATGGTGTCGATTTTACTACGCCTGTAACTGTAACTACTGTCGCCATACCCAAGGCCGACCTTGACAACCTCGTGAGCGCCTCTCTGTGGGAAGAGGCGTAGACGCTGACCATTCCGCAGTTGAAGATTTCTCGGGAGTATGGTATGAAAATGTGACCAACTTTACATACTATCTGCTGCTCTCTGACTCTGTAGCAGCCAATCTACGACGTAACCTCTTCCGAGGTGGCATTGAACAAAAAAAATTGGCAGTAAGCAGAACTGCCTCGAACTAGCCTTGCCGCCATCCTTCCGAATGCATGCTAATTGTATCTGTCAGATCTTGGTGAAAGACGACGCTACAGGCAAAGAAGATAGCGGCACGATCGAGACCGATGACCCTACCGGTAGCGATGCCTTTTACACTCAACAACCCGAATCTACCGCGCCAGAGACAGATGGAAACGGGCGAGACTATACTTACGGAAGAAATGCCGACTACAATCCACGGGGTAGCTATGGGCGCCGCCACAGTGGAACCAAAGGTTTTGGCAATGTTTTCACAAATGGCGTCAGCAGCGGCTACTACGACCACGAGATCAACGACGAGCTCTCTTCGCCAGACGAACTCTTCGATCCGAGTCCAAATGATTCCCAAAGTCGGATCCCGCCCCCTAAGTTTGCCAAGTTTGCCAAGCGAACTGTCGTTCTATCTAACCTTGCCGAGGGCACCACTCATGCAGACGTCACCAATGCTGTAAGAGGTGGGATGCTGCTGGATATATTTCTTCGAAGCAACGACCATAGTGTCAGCGTCTCATTCTTGGACGAGGATGCTGCACAGGAGTTCTTTCGATTTGTCAAGCGCCACGACTTGTACATCCGGGGCAGGAGGGTATACAGTCCCTTACTTCTCAAAAAAGCACCGGCCTAATTCTCTACAGGTCGAGATTCGATGGGGCGAGCGCCAGTTCATTCTACCAGGCCATGTTGCTAATAAGATAGGCATCGGAGCTACCCGAAACCTCATTATCCAGAATTGCAGCCCAAAGTTTACCGAAAAAATGATCCGAGATGATCTGGAGCATATCCACAACTTAGTTGTCATCGACGTTGCTTTCCGAGGTCGAAATTGCTACATTTCCACGAACTCGGTTCACAATTCGATGTTTTCTCGTACTTGCATGATGAGTCGCGCGTAGGTATACTTCCGCCAGGGGCAGAGTATGTCAACTAACAGGTTGCAGTATCTACAAGGGATCCAAGATCGAATGGGGCCCCGATGAATGTGCAGCGCCGCTTGAGAGGCCCGTTCAGTTCCGCAAGCAACGTGAGCCCAGCCAGAAGAAGGATATTAAGCCAATGAACCGCTTCCAACTTCTCAACTTGGACAGCGACGAAGATGCTAGCTCTGTGCAAGAGGATGAACTTGACGCTGGTATCCATTTGCCTTCGGGAATTCTATCCAAGGTTTAGGACCAGTTTCGCTCGATATCTCAACGTTCTTCCTCGTACATTTGCTTGAGCAGGTGCTTGGGTTGGTGTATCTTTCTCAATGCTGTTTCCTTGGGTCATTTGGGAGCACAGCCTTTGCTAGGCGTTGTGGATGGCGTTTCTGTCACTGGTTGGTGGTAGTATCAGATACCCGGTCTGCCTAGTCGCCATTTATTTTGCTTTCGGATACCCAGATTGCAGTATAGTTTGGCTTGGACCGGAATGGGTCATTCAAGAGAGTTCCTAGTGAGCAGGTTCAGAGTCATCGTGAATTGCGTACATTACTACGAATGTAAAATGTTCATATCAATGATACGAATATAGCTGAGTCTTGCCCGCGCACGAGTGTGTTCTCTTATTCTGCTAAGAATAATCTCTTTAAAAAATTGAAGCGTGAAACGATGTTTATATTTGTCAAAGTTGCTTCATGTTTGTTGCCAAGACCAGAACGGTCAATTCCTCAACCCCTTGCTGTCGATCAGAGGGCCCCCACTACGATAAGATAAGCTGTGGCGCTCACGTGAAACGACAAGCTCAAAATCCAGAAGCAAACACGCGTCTCTTCTCTCTCTCACACATCATATAACACACAACACACACCCTCAGCTTCGAAATACCAACAATGTGATCGCGGCCACAGAGCTGGCCTCAACCAAGCTCAATGTTCCCTTCCAACAAATGCTCCGACGACGCCAGCGCCTGCTTCGCACCCGGCCACCAAGTCCGCTCCCTTGGCTCGCAATCCTTCACCTCCGCCGCCTTCTCTTCCCTGCCCTTTGTGACGACCTTTGTCGGCGTCTCGTTCGCAGTCCTCTATAAGCTATTTCCGCTCGTCTCCGGCTTGCACCAGTCCAAAGACGAGCAGGACCATTATCTCCCCAGCGACGCGCCGATCCAACTACGCCAGAAACATGCAGAGCAGGGCGCGAAGTCTCTCCGGAGGAGGGTCGTGGCCGTGACTTTCTCAGCAACGATCAGCCTGGCTGCCGTCCTTGCGGAGCTTATACTGTGCGAGATTTCGAACTCGCTGAACCCTGCCGCCCGGAGTCTGGCGTTGAGGGCTGTGGTGCCGGTGCTGCTCTTCTTTTTGGTGGCTCTCATCCCGTTTTTGGAGTTGCAGTCAATTGTTTCGGGATTCGGGTTGTCATTTAAGAGGAATGTGAAAGGGAAGATACCTAGGAAATCGTGGGCTTTGCAAGTGGTGCTGTTTAGTGTGTGGTTGGTGGCCTTCTGGTGGGCGGGCAAAGCCGTACCGGGCATTGCCAGTCAAGCTGGCAAAAGCTTGACGGAAGAATGCCTGGACCGAGTAGGCATTGTGGGGATATCTCTCATGGCGCTGTTGTCTGGCTTTGCGGCTGTGTCAGCGCCATGGCAAACGTTTGGAGCGAAACCAAGGCCAGTCACTGAGGCGGATGTAGCGCGGAAGCAGGCAGGTCTTGATGCTACGAACGAGATGCTAGCTGCAAAGCGCAGTCGTCTTCGAGCTCTACATCGCAGGATGAAAGACTCTCCCGCTGAGGGCTTTATGACAAAAGTCATGGGCAGCATACGAGGCAACCCAGATACCCAGGAACTAAAGGCCCTGGAACTCGAGGTCTCAGGATTAAATTCCATGAACTTATCCCTCTCCTCCTCTCTCTCCGTTCTTCAGAATCGCCTAGCATCTACTAAACAAGCATCCTCCCCTCTCGGCAAGATGCTCTTCAAACCAACCTCCTACGCCTTTGCTCTCTACTGCGTGTATCGCATTGTGTCCACGACCATCACCTCTATCCGGCGTATTCTCTTGCCACCTCTCGATCCGACAGCTTACACGTCCTCCACCACCGACCCCATCAACCGGGTCCTCTCCCTCCTCGCCAAACACGTCGATCCCACTCTCGACCAACTCGCCTGGTCCCGCCAAATCTCCTTCCTCCTCTCGGGCATAATCCTTCTCGCCTCCTTCAACTCCGTCCTCCAAACCTTCCACATGATCACCAAACTCGTTCCCTCCCTCCTCTACCAAGCACAAGCCAACCTCGCACTCCTCATTGCCCAGATCTCCGCAATCTACGTTATCTCCAGCGCGTTACTGCTACGGAGTAACCTTCCGAGCGAGATGAAGAGCGTGGTTAGCGATGCGCTCGGGAGTCCGCTGGAGCCGGGGCTGGTGGAGAGGTGGTTCGATGGGTGGTTTTTGTTGGCAAGTTTGGGTACGGCGCTGGGCATCTACGTAGGGAGAAAGCTCGGGGGAGGAGGGGAATGGGACGAATTTGATGATGGGGATGTGGAGCTGGGACAAAAGCGATCGTGAGATTATGGTTATGATATGATAAGATAAGATGTCTAACGGATTGTGTTTTGGCTGAGATGGATGCTAGAAATGCATAGATACCCGCGGGAGGAGTACCTATACGTAGAGCAGGGCGTTTTTTTTTTTTTTCTATTTTTTATCTTTTTTTTTTTCATCTCTTCTTTTTTTCTTTTCTTTCGATGAAGTGTATCGGCGGCGATAGATACACCCTGAGTGGCTATGTATACCAGGGCTGGATTGGACTGCGCTGGACTAGACTGCGCGTCTTTGGCTAGATTTATTTGTTTCTCGGAAAGCTATCGAGAGAAACCCTGGCTCCTCTCGTATTCCTGTACCCACTATTATGCTTATTATTTAGATGCAAATGGTAGTTATCCGTCCGGAATAGAAGTGGCAGCAGCCTTGATCTGACTATTTGCATCACATTACCTGTAGACTTTGATCTTTGTGCATTCGAGATTTTGTTGGGATTCTTTATTCCCGTACGCGTGTGTGTAATCTAGGTTGGGGGGGGGGGGGGGGGGGGGTTTAGAGATGACGGTTAGAGATGGCCGTTGGAGACGGCCGTTGTAAATGGGGGTTAGAGATGGGGGTGGCGATGCATAATAGTCAGTGCGCTACGCTGACTTGTTACCTGCGGGCTCTCGGTAACAGTCAGTCCAAGCAAGCGTCTCATCTCAAACTGTATGCAAAATCGGGGTTGAGTTGAGAATCAACGAAAGTCATCGAAAATCATGACAAATCACGGCTTGTACCATGCACAACTCTACAACGCAATAAGATATGATAATGAAAACTACATCTGCGTCTCGGCGCTACAATCTTTCATAGTACTATTCAATAACAAATCCTTTTTATCCATTATCTTCATATCTATTGCTTGGAAGGGGGGGTTTTTTTGGAAGGGGGGAAATGGAAACTCGTAGCAGGCTGGCAGCTTCTCGATTATTAAGGTTAAGAGGCTCGGGAATATCAAAATGTCAGCTAAAATTGATTCGATTTACAACTCGGATAGATTAGTAACCTAATATGTCATAATGTAGGACGGTGAATGGGCGAGTCGACGCTATCGAGCTGTTATTCAGCTATCGAATTTTTATAGATAAAGCTATGGTTTAATGCAGTCGATATCGGTAAATATAAATGTTTTTTGGTGTGAAGTAGGATACTTGGTTGGACTGGGACACTTGGTTGGACTGACTATCAGATATGAATGTATATTACTTTACATCGTTTTCTTTCTTTCTCTTGTAAATGGTGAATAGTAAAATGAATACGTGTAGAGGATGATGTACATGTATTCAATTCGTTGGCAGCGTTTTTTGGGGGGGAGGATTCCTCTTGGATTGGTTTAGACAGAGGTGTGATGTAGAGGTGAATTGGTCTGGGGGTGAACACGGAAACATGTTGGAACATGGAGGAACGGACAAGTTCGGCAAAGCCCTTGAATTTTTTTTTTTTCTGTGTTTACTTTACTTGAGTGCAGATCAGATCAGACCAGACCAAAACCAGCCGCGATGGCAAGGCATGGCTGGGCGTATAGTATAGCAAAGGATAAGAAATACCAATTGGCAGATATGCTTAGTCTCCTATTATTATCTAAAGAAGGAGGAGGAGGGAGCAAGAGGAGGGAGGGGGAGATGTTTCATCGTAGCCTTCTCTATCCATACCTTTTAGTCCCTCCATTTTTGTTGTCATTCTTTTGGGGAGAACCTTTTGGAAAGAAACCCCGTCATCCCTTCATTCCACAGGTCCTCCAGACTTTAGAAACCCCGCCAGAAAGACAATCTATTCTGCATGGCTCTCTCTTCCTTTAATCAGGGAATGAAATAAGGGAGTTTCGTGGCAGACATTCAGTACACCCGAAGGTGAAAATGATCCAGGCCCGGTCACATAGGTTTGTGTTGATAAGACCGTTCCAGCTTTTGAAATGTTCAAGTTCCAAGGGCCCTAGCCACTAGACCTAGCTAGCTATATAGACCTGACAATCCCAGCTCCCTCACCATTCATAAGGATAGAAGCAAGAAAAGAATCCAAAATTCATCATCAATCGCAAGGAAAAACAAGCAAAGCAACAATAACAAATCAAGGCAGTCAATAGCAGCAGAATTCCCCATTTCAATAAATTTCCCCAAGCTATTTCTATAATTTGGAACTATCCAACTACCCAAGATGGATTTTGCAAGCGTTGAATTTGGTAGCATGCAAGCCTAGATAACCTGCATTGCCTGAAGTTGTTCTGTGAATGAAATTATTGTATCCACACTCGCAGGGCTTGGAAATTGAGGCTATACAGAAAGAGCAGTATGCTCTAACGGCTGATATGGATTGATGTGAGAACCATCAGGATTCTTTATCGTAAGCATATATATACCTGCGAATGCCAAGTCCCAGCTTGCTCTCAGCTCTTACCATGCACAACATGCTCTATCTCCAAAGCCTCACAGAGGCAACGGAATTCTCTTGATGACTGACTGAGGATGAGAAAGTGAAGCTTAGGATTTCCTCCATCCACCTCAAAAATATCGCCCATACACTTCGTATGGCGGCCTTCTTGAGAATATTCTTCATCCTTTGACAGATAGAAAGCGCCAGATCTAACTGTCTTTGCAAGTTGCACAAGAGTCAACAAACACCTCTCTTTTGCCTCTGTTTCTCTCCTTCTCGTGAATCATCTGTCCCCGTAGTCTAAACACCAATCTCCAAAGCTATGCCGTCTTGTCCTCTCTTCCTGCGACTAGCAGGATCAAAGAACTTTCATATCCTTGGATTTTCGAAAAACGCCATTTTCGAACGACACCATTCTCAGAACGGCGCCATTTTCGAACTACGTGATCAAGAAAGCGAGCAATTCATCCGCTGCCCTCCTCATCACACTCAGCGTTCCCCACACACAACAAACTTCCTCCAACACCGTCCTCCACTTTGTTGATGCACAACACCAACACAGCCAGCTGCGAGGCCTCGATGGCATAGACTCGTCAACTTAGAGGTACCGAGGGCTTTCTTCGTTCTATTTCTTGATATCAGCCACCTCTTTCAGATTCTTCTCTCGTAAAGCTTGCGAGCATCGAGGTTCAAACCCTACGATACCCATCACGACCACGACCACGACCACGACCACGACCACGACCCCAATCCCTCAACACTCGCATACATCCTCTGACCTCTGCAATATCGTCGAGCCGTCTCTTCAAAGCGGTCGCTCGGTAGTAAGCTTCTGCGAATCCCCTCTCAATTCTTCTCAGAATCGAAGCCCTTCATCTTAAGATAACAATCTTGGACTCGCATCCACCACACAGAACGAAGATTCATCGATCTACAGCGCCAAACGCAAGACCAAGAAACATAACTGGACCTGCAACTGGCTGCTTGCGCACACGCGCGACCTCCGCACGGGAGCTCTCGTGACTCCTCGACCTGGTACTCTGGTAACTAGTTCCCTTTCCCTGATTGAAGCAATTGACCCACATACTGACTCTACGCGCTCTTTCGCAGGCCATTGACGACAGGTCGCGCAAGTCCGCAAAACATCCTCCCTCCTGTGCTTGCCATACGAGTCGCGCGCACCCGCACATAACCGTTTTTCGAGCTTGAATCTCAGACCGGACGTCAAGATGAAGGAAATTTTCTTCATGCTCATGGCCATCATGGCTATCGCTCTTGGTCAAAGTGCGGAGGTGAGCACGTCCGACATGAAAGCGATCCGCGAACGTACTCTCAACGCACCTGTGGCTACCCAAGCTGGCGCCAACCACGAGAAGTCAGCGATCTACAGTATCACCGTCATTCGACACTTATCGACCACATCCACCCTCATAACTGAGACTGGAGTAAGAACGGAACCTCTGGAGCAGACGATTCCGTTCACGATGGACAGTGGTTCGACCTGGACATCAATCTCAACCACAGGCACCAGCACATATACTGCAACATCAACGTAAGTAAATAGACAGATTCCATCAAAGTGCAAGGAACTCAAAGACTCAGCTGACAATTTTGAAAGATGGTGGAGCCCTGTAGTCACGGCCTGGAACGAGACTGACATTCAACCTGTGATGGTGCAGGGCCCTACCGCTACCACCGGTTCTTCTGCTGTTGTGACGTCCAGCACTGTGATCACAGCTACCAGCGAGCCAAATCTAACATCAGCGGAAGCTTCTACTCGCCAACGTCATAAGGTAATTGCCTGGAGCTCCGCAGGTGGGTTCTTGGGCCTTTTCATACTTATCGGGGGAGGCTGGCTATTCTGGAAAAACAAGCAGCATAAAGAACAGCAGCGCAGAAACCGGCTTCCATTCCCTTCTATCGGTGGAGGATTTCCAGGGGATGGCTCATCGCGTCCCATGTCACCAATACCCATGTTGCCAAGAGCTCGCACAACCACCCCTTCAATCGTCATTTCATCCCCGCTATCGAATCCAGCTCTAGTGACCTCTGACTCCCATAGAGCAGAACCGCTGAGGAATGCGCACTTGGTCCAACAAACGGCAAACGGTCCACCAGTTCAGCTGGGTGACATGGCTCCTCTCCGACCAGCTCGGCCAGCTAGCTTGACGGAATCGATCCAAGAGTCCATGGACACAATCCCAATTGGTGTCGCAATGGATTTGATTAAGTCGGCCAACACATCGCCTGTGATGCAACCTCGTGGAGACGAACATAGATCTTTCATCCCTGTCGCTATCGTCAAGAAGAAGGCATCCGGAAAAGTGTCAATGACCACTACCAACAGCACCGAGCCACAAATTGGCGACCCAGACCAAAGATTCCACGAGGATATCGCAGAGCAGGTTGGCGAGGCGCTTGATCAGTCGTCAGATGGTGTTGGTCAAGCAGATCCAGCTGCTAGTCTTGCTTCTCACTCTCAGAATCCACCCCGTACTAACCCGAACACGTTCGATGATGATGAGAGTGATGATGACGTTAGAGAGCAGCGACGAGTATCAACCCTGCGACAACTAGATCCCACTGGATTCCAGCCTTCATCTCAACCAAGACGTGTCCCCCCTGTCTCCCGTGTTGCTCGCCCTCAGCGGGGATTGGGGCGCGCCAGATCTGGAACAGCTCCCGGTGCCAGACGTGCATTAGCAACAGCTTCTGCCCCAAGACGTGGCCTATCCTCCCTTGGAGAGCGCGACACCACCGTGGCTGATCTTAAGGCCCTAGCAAACCGAGATCAGGACAAGTTGTGACCGAGATGACGAAAATGACAAGATGATGGGTCCGAAGTAAATGGAGAAATGATTGCTGTGGTAAGACCTTCCTTAGCCGCGGTTTCCAGTATGCGTTTCGCAAATTCATTCCAGGAGACCGTTCTGATGGCTTTCAAAAAGGAACAAAGGTGCGAACCCGAGATATGTTGCCTGGGACTCGAGGAGAGGAGCTTCGAACTGTGTAGACGAGGCCTTAGATGGAGCGGTGGTGAGGAGAGTTGTCACTGGACCCGTCTCTCATAGCATAGCATTCAATGTGAAAACAAAGCTTGCAAAGTAAGTGCGCATCTGTCGCTGTGACCATTATGATAATGATAAGGTTGATGAGTTTGAGAAGAGCGATCGATCGAAGTTGTTGGAATTGGAATTGGAATTGGAATTGGCAGGCGGAGTTCGGCTATAGTAGCGCCGGAAATACCTCTAGCTCTTCGGTCGTAAGATTGTCCGATCTAGTACTCTATTCGTCATACCCATACCCATACCCCACACCCGGGACGTAGATGCATTCAAGTGTAGGGTAAAGGGTAAAGTCTTTTCTCTCACTCTTGTTGACAATATTCTCCATTTTGTTTTCTTTACTACATTTGAAGTTTCTGCATCGTGGCTTTATCTTATAAATCGCTTGAATCAAACCAAAACAAATCACGAGCCAATATGCCTCCTTCAGGTCTTGCCATTATCATAGGTGCCGGCCCCAATACTGTAAGAATATTTGGCAACTTCTCCAAGATATCTCCCATGCTACAAGCCACTGACAGTTCCTATCCAGGGAACGGGCATCGCGAGAATCCTCTCTCATCCAAAGCACGGAAATATGGCGGTCGCCCTGCTCGCCCGCCGCCCCGAAGGACTCTCCTCCGTGCGTGCGAACCTCAAAGAGACATCTCCGGGTAGCATTGTGGAAACCTTTCCTACAGACACCTCCCCTACCAGCCTGCGCGCCGCCTTCCAATCCATCAAGACCCACTCCTCGTTCGCACACCTCAAGCTGAAAGTCGCCGTGTACTCCCTAAAGCACTCCTCCAAGAAGCCCTTCCTGTCAGAGACATATGAGGAGTTTACGCAATCTCTGGAACAATACGTTGGTGGCGCGTTTACGTTTAGTCAGGAAGCGCTGAAGCTGTTCTTTGAGCACCACGGTGAAGCACCGTTGAGCGAGACGGGCGAGAAAAAAGGGACGTTGATTTTCACAGGGACTCTAGGCGCGCTCAGGTGTAACGCCGAGTACGCGGCCTATGGGGCCGGAAGGAGTAGTGTGAGGCAGTTGGCGCAGACGCTGGCGAGAGAGATGAGTCCAAAGGGGGTGCATGTTGTGCACACGATTGCTAATGGGATTATTGAGGATAAGAATGGAGAGGATCAGAGGATTGGGAAGAAGATGAGTGCGGATGCGGTCGGGAAGACGTATTTGTGGTTGAGTCAACAGGAGCCTGAGTTGTGGACTCACGAGCTGGACTTGAGACCTGCTGCTGAAAAGTTTTAGACAGTGAGCCTTGATGCAAAAGTGATGAGAAAGCTGAATCCTAGTACGCGCAACCGGGATGGAGGCAAGCGACTGAAATATAATACACACACGTATATAGATATACATTGCAAAATGCAAGTCTGAGCGAGGACTGAAAATCACCAAGAAAGTGTCGTCGTTCGCTCGATAGGAGTAGGCCAGTCACAACCAGCAACCCAGCACCTCACCTCTCCTTTCCATTACCTTTCCTCGCCCTTATACTGAGGTACCTGACATGACTCAGTATGTAGGTTGCGATCTTCTTATTCTTGAAAGGATGATCGAGTATAAAGAATAAGAAGATCGAGTATCTTTTCGGACAGGGCAGGCATCTTCTCGAAGAGAGGAATCAATCGGCGGGGTATTGTTTATCTACGTCCCCGAAGACAGCTGTGTAGAAATAGCTTGTGACATATAGGAGTTCCAGAATGTGCGGCGAGACGAGTACTTTTTCCCGCGGGTGTAAGCGAGTACTGAAGTGTCGATCGTCTGAGGTCAGAGAAGACATGAAGTGCACTGCTATCTGCTTCATGAAGTCGATTCCGTATGTTGACTTTTGACTTGATTTAAAGATATATATCGTATCTTGCACTTAGATGATCGTATGCTTAGGCACAGGTATCTTCGTACGGAAATCTCAATTATCATCGATCCTCGTATGACTACCGACTACTTCGCTATTAATCGTATTCGATCTAATGCTTTGCTAAATAGTTTCGTTGTATCGTCGTCGGCGCCGTATCTATGCAATTCGAATTATTTGTAGGTCAATTGAACCAGCGAAGTCCTTTTCCAAAAGATAACCTAGTTAACTAATTGTGGGATTAGCTCAGTCGTTACGAAAGTTGAGTTAACTCGGCAGCGAAATCCCTCTATTTCTATTGTCGTCGTCTCCGACTCGCCTGACTGCCGACGCGATGAGTAAGCAAAACTTGTGCCCAGCATATTTTTGGCCACAAATAAGCCCCCAGAGTGACCTCGACTCAATCTGAGTCGATACGATATCGGAATCGGCTCCCAAGATTGACTCAAGGGTACTTACTGCTGTTACGCACAAGTCGATGAGGTCCAGACGACATGCTCAAAGACCAGAATAAAGCACCATAAAGAGGGCTTGAATGAAGAACACGGGCGGCATTAAATTGATCCTCAGTCCTGCAAGTTACACAAATACCGAGGCTTCAAATAGTAATATTCAACAGGCCCACTCCAACTTAGTAAGATTGCTAGTACCTGGCCCAGCCCAAGAGCACATCAACACCGTCAGCACATCTTACAATGGGGTCTCAAACGCCGGCGTACCCAATACCTCCAGGTGTCCATGCCATCTCAAATGAGCTCCTTGACCTACGACCAGATTCTGAAATTGATTACGAGATTCTCCACCCGAAGCCCATCACCACCGAGAAGAACATCTTCTTCGTTTGGGATTCTAGTTTCAAACATAGGCATCCCTGCACTCAACGAATCGTTCGCGCCTGGCATCGTCGATTTTCACGATCCGGGTGGACGATGTCGAGAAATTTCTCGATGTCAACGACCGCTCCAACCTCCCCCAGGCTTTTTCAGAAGGCACGATCACAGGAACATATGCAGTGCAGCATACCAGTGATCTCGTGCGTTGGCCGCTACTGTTGAAGTATGGAGGTGTCTACACAGACGTCGGTTTCATGCAAATCGGGGACCTCGACGCCCTCTGGAACAAAACTATTGGAGACCCCGAATCAGGGTATAAAATTCTGTCATATAACCAGGGACCTCCAGAAATCTACTGCCTTACAAATACTTCTTCTGAGCATGCAAGAATAACCCATTGTTTGAGCGTGCGCATCGCCTTTTGCTGAAGCTTTGGGAAGGTAGGACATGTACTACAGGGCTAAATTCTCATGCGCTGCTAAATGGAATAACACTAATGGGTGGAAATTTCACCATAGGCGATGAGCAGGGGAAGCATGATGGTGAGGAGTCTAGTACGATGTTGACGGATTACATCATTCAAAGACAAGTCACGAAGTTGGTGATGGGGCTTATAGATGAGGAGGGTGGGTGGAATGGACCAAAATACGTGCGGGAGAAGATCTATGCTATCAATTGTTTGGTCGGATCTCAACTCATCAACGAAATTACTGCATAGGAGGGCAGGAAGCTTTTGACTTGATGTCGTTACCGCTACCGAAAGTAGGGGAGACGGAGAGTGCAGAGCAAGTTCAAGCGAGGAACATTGTTGAGCAATGCTTGAAAAGAAGTTTGGGGTTCAAGCTTGCTCATGGGATGATTCTGTGGGTACCTAGAGAGACGCTGGAGAGTCTTTGGAGGAAGCATACCATACAGGGAGCGATGCCGTTGTCGGTACTTATGTGCATTGGTTGCGTTAAGAAAAGGTGCATTGGTGCCCGGTCGAGCTGCCCGAGAAGATCGAGTATGCGATTATCGACCTATTGAAAACAGGTCCGCTGCTGAAAGGAGCTTAACTGACATCGCTCGTAAAAATCAGCACCTAGCTCAAGCTATTGCATCAGACAGATACTTAGTACCATCTCGGGGATCACCCTTTTCCCTATCTGGGTAGTCGGCACCCACAGCAACACGTATTTCGCTCAACCCTTTTTTTTCTCCAAATCTTTTTCTTTCACATTTTACTTTCGTTTCTACTAAGCTCAGAATCTTCAACAACCAAATCCCTGAAGTACCATTGCTATGATAACATTTCATGCCACCAGCTAGTCTGCTAACATGCGACTCCTAAGAACAATCACAAATGCGTCCTCGTCTCATCAGAATGGAGCGGGAGCTGGAGCAGACGAGGAGGGAGGGCATGAACTCGAGGGCAGGGACGGCCTCTCAGTCCGAGGCGCTGAAATTCTAAACGAGATCCGAATCGGCTCGTAAGTCTTAGTCTTCAAATCGACGCCATGCAATTCTCCTGGAAGATTCCCTCTGACATTCGTTTTAGATATACGTGCGTCGTATGCACAGATCCTATAGAATTCGGTCGAGGCCAGGACTACGCTCTATGGAGCTGCAGAGAGGGGTGCCACACCGTCTATCACTTCCGCTGCATCAAGGACTGGTCGACCGCCAGCACCGCCCACGCCGCCGAAATTTCAAGTATATTTTACATCAACCCGCCTCATCAATGGAAGTGTCCCTGTTGCGCGGCTACTCCAGCAGCCATCAACGTAGCCACTTGCTGGTGTGGCAAAAGGGACCACGATGCCATCGCAATTGGTAGCGCAAACTCTTGTGATGAGCTATGCGCCAGGGAAGGACAATGCACTCACGGACATGCCACGAATTGCCAGCAGAAATGCCACCCGGGCCCTTGCCGATTGCGCTGCACGATCGAGTGTCGACAAATCCTGTCTGCTCGCCAATCAAACAAATTTCGGAGATTCTGCACGCGAGTGAGAGAGAAAGACAAGAAACCACTGGCTTGGGCATATGCAATCTTTCTCTTGATATACTCCGGGCTGGGAGTCTTTCTGCATTTCCACATCAGGTGGAACACAATGCCATGGAAGTATCCCGGGTTCGAGCGCATGACCGAGAGCACAGTTCTCTTCATTCTAGGAATGTTTTTATTATTACCTGCTCTTGCGTTACTGATTTTGGGTACTTGTATGGTAACTTTCGAGTTCTTGATCTCGGTCTTCAGCCTGACATTGCTCGACAACAATCGGCCTTCTGGTGCTTCTGTTGCGGGGGTACTACTTGGAGCATTATTCGTCTGCCCACTATTTCTCGCCATCTTTACGGTTCCGATTGTTACGTAAGTAATCTACATAAGCTTCTGGTCCTGTAGAGTTACTTTGCTAACGCGTTTCAGGCTTTTTGAAGGCCCTCCGCTTGCGTGGGATTATCAGATGAAGGACAGTTGTAATGGCTTCAATACTAGGATTGGAATGGATGAGACACCAGGTTGGTCCCTCCTCAAAGACACTCTCTCAGTAGCGGAAATCCTGGCGCTCAGTAGATGCGGAGTATGTAGAAACTCATGGCTAACCATCCCAGGCACCCACTTCACAGCCCTGAGTCTCGTTCCCGACCAGGAGTCAAGAAATTTCTACCTCGCGGAACGTACTGATCCGAGTGGTACCGATGCCAGTCAACCATTCCGCTATTACCACCGACTCTCAGGAAGTACCAGTCGATTCAACACAATGGCGATCGACGTCGACTTGCACTACCACCAATGGCGCATGCTATCCCTGAGCGACTCCGACCAAGCCAACCAGTGGCTTGCATACGATTCTAGAATGCTGGATCGAAGCGGCTTCCCAAGTCCCCCGCCCTTTCGCAAGCCATCAGAAGATCTCATCGGAGCTGGCTCCTTCACGCCCACCGACGACACGCACACGACCCTGATGATCCCTGAGCTCGAGCTAGCCATCACACACATGCACCAGTTCATCTACAAGCTCAAAATGGAGCCCTTCCTGCGCGTCTTCAACGTCTCGGGCATGAAGCCGTTCTCACGCGTCTGGAACACGACTGATCATTACAACCCGCGAGCATGGAACAAGAAGGACCGCATGCACGAGAACGAGTGGACGCGCCGACCGCATCCCCGGGAAATAATGCGCACGGCTTCATTTGGACGCGGACGAAGTACCGTGACCGCTTGTGCGCGGGAGGTGCACGAGTGGCGTGATATGAGGGGACCTGGAAACCTGCTGTACGATGCTAACGGGACGGTGATTGAAACGCCGCCGCCGCCGAGTGGTGTTCAGATGTACCACATGGTCCCGTTTGCGATCATTTCGGCGTATAGAGAGAGGGTCAAGGAGACGGATCTGAGACCAATCATCACCTACAAGCACTAGATTCATTTTTATATATTTCTCGAGATTGTCTGCCATATTTGGATCGCTTTTCTAGAGTTATTTAGTTCCGATGAATAATTAATTGATATCCCAGATTTCATGTTCCAGATTTCGTAATACTTCCACCTCTTGATAGTCTTCCATATTCAACTTCCGTCTAGCTATCTTCTGCTGTGCCTTTGTAGATGGCGAAGCCGGGTGTTATATATATGTATATATATATTTTTGGATTATAGAGCGCCCGTTCATATATATCGTCTCCGACGCTATCAGCTGTGCTGCTACTCACGCGAGATATCTACGTAACAATATACGCCTAGCTAGGCAGATACGAAAGCGGAGAGGGCAGAGCAATGGATGTAAACAGGTTATTGATGCTGATTTCCCGAGATTCTTATGAAATGTGGACTTTGGACTTGTTAAGTAGGTAAGGAGGCGGTTAGTTTCTCATTGTACGGGTCGACGTTCAGGGGGATCTCGCTTATGGTGCTCGGGTGGTTATGTATAGCAGGGAGGGGTGGGTGAAGTTAGAAGTGTGTATATGGATGTAGGACGCAATAAATGTTATTTACAGATTCCAGTGACTTGGTACAACTATCCTCGAGAATACTTTTGTTGTCGGCTTCGTCACCAACTACCGGTATCATGTTCCTCATCTACCAAAGTGGTGCCGTGGGAGCGATCGGATGAGGTTAGTCCGTATGTAGCCGAACTATATTCCTCGGAGTTTAGCCGCGGCGCTAAGATAACGAGAGGCAGAAAATTCGATAATCTATCGAAAATTACCCAGCGAGCGGCTTTTTCTCCTACCGACAACTGCATTTTATTGCAACACCGCGGAACATGGCGAAAAAGAGAAAAGCAGCCGGCCAACCTGCCAATGCGGAGATCGACGATGGATTCGAGAAGAAAGGTGGCAAGATGGGCCCTATTACCACCTTCGAGGACGTCGCCGACTCTGAGGATGAATTCCACATCAATCGCGACAAGGTCCTGCTCGATGACGGCCCGGATGCGAAGAGGCGGAGGAAATACGCCGCTGAAGGTTGGCGGATACTGCTCTTGGGATATACCAATCTGTTACTAATAACGGACTGCAGATGCTGAACTCGAGCCCTCGGACGAGGAAATCTTAGGATACTCCTCCGAAAGCGAAGAGGAGCAGTTCGAGGCACCCAAAGGCCGCGGGAAAGGCAAGGTCATCTTGTCTGATGACGAGGAGCCGCAGGCTGAGGAAGATGAGGACGCTGAAGGCTGGGGCACGTCGCGGAAGGACTACTACGATAATGATGGGATTCAGACCGAGGCGGATGCGCTCGAGGAAGAGGCGGAGGCAAAGCGATTACAGCAGAAGAAGCTCCAGAAGATGTCTGATGCCGACTTTGGGTTTGACGAGAGCGAATGGCTGGATGCCGCGGGGGAGGATGACGATAGAGAGGTGGTTACGGAGGTGTTGAAGGATATTGAGATCACGCCGGACATGGACCCGAAGGAGCGATTGCGAATTTTGCAGACGCGATACCCAGAGTTTGATCACCTTGCCAATGAGTTATTGCAGTTACAACCGGTCCTGGTAGATCTGCAACAGCAGGTTACGTCTGAAGGAGCTTCTAATTCGGCACGAACCTCGTTCACGGTTGCCAAGTCGCGAGCTTTGGCTGCGTATTTGGCAGCTTTGACAATGTACTTTGCCATCCTCACAGCGCCTGCAAAGGGCCTCAAATCGGAAGGAAAGGCTCTGGACCCGGCAGAAATACGAGATCACGCAGTCATGGATAGCATATTACAATGTCGAGAGCTATGGTCGAAGGTCAGATTGCTGAAGGCTCCCGAACCGACCGAAGATGCCTCCGAGTACGAGTCTGCCGACGAAACCCAGGAACCAGAACCTACCTCCAAGTCCGACAAACCGTCCAAGAAGAGCAAGAAAGAGCGTGCGCGCCTGGCCGCGGCTGAGGAAGCAGCTGCTCTCCGCGCCCAACGTCTCGAAGAGGCCGAAGACGAGCTTGCGGATCTTGCAGCTCTCGTTCCCAAATCTCGGAAATCGAGCCAGAGACCCAAGGCAGTCATTGTCGCAGACGATGACTCGGACTTTGGCGAGGAGGAGACGATGGATGCCAAGTCTGCCGAGGAGAAGGCGAACAGGAAGAAGAGCCTCCGCTTCTATACTTCACAGATCACCCAGAAGGCCAACAAACGCGCCGGAGCTGGACGTGACGCGGGTGGTGATGCGGATCTGCCGCACAAAGAGCGCCTGCGGGACCGTCAGGCTAGGCTGAACGCCGAAGCCGAGAAGCGCGGCAAGAAACTGGACGAGTACGGCCGTGGCGGTGGTGGTGCTGACCTCGGCGGGGAGAGCGACAGCGGCGAAGATGCCGTCGCTGAGAAGGTCCGCGACGCCGAGGACGAGTACTACGACATGGTGGCCCAGGCATCCCGGAAAAAGAAGCTGACGAAAGAGATGCGGCTGGCGGCGGAGAAGCAGGCCCAGGCGGAAGGCCGCCTTACGCGCGTGGTGGAGGGCGAGCCGGACGACGAGGCGGATGGTGGCGGCAGCAAGCGGGCCATCGGCTACGTGATTGAGAAGAACAAGGGGCTGGCGCCGAAGCGCAAGAAGGAGGTGCGCAACCCGCGCGTCAAGAAGCGGATGAAGTACGAAGAGAAGAAGAAGAAGCTGGCGAGCACGAGGGCCGTCTACAAGGGTGGCGAGGAGCGCGGCGGCTACGGCGGCGAGAAGACGGGTATCAAGGCGGGGCTTGTCAAGAGTATCAAGCTTGGCTAGGTAGTAGGTAGTAGCTCGTACTTCATAGCCTTTTGTCCCGAAATTATTGAGAATGGCGTTTTTGGAGCGGGCCTTTTCAACATCTAAGGGGGTACTCGCTTGGTAACCTAAATTTTAATTTTTTTTCTAGTTTTTTTTGTTTTTTCTTTTTTTGTTTTCGGGGGGAGTGGGGGGTATTCCAACCCTGTACATGTACATGTACATGTTTTTTTGCAAGCCTGACTCCTGCATGTTTTTCCCCTCCTCTCGCTTGGTCTTCTTCTCTCTTCTCTCTTCCCTCTATCTCTCTCCTTCCTCTATCCCCTTCCCTCTATCTCTTTCCTTTCCTCCTCCCCTTCCCTCCTATTTTCCTTTTCTCCTCCCCTTCTCCTCCTCCATTTCCATCCTTGCATCCCCTTCCCTTCCTCCACCCATCTTCCCCCCCTCCCCCTTCTCTTCCCCTTCCCTTATCCATCTCCTCCCCTCTTCGCCTCTTCCTTCCATCCTTCCTTCTCCTCCCCTTACAACGTCGACGATGATAGGTAATAATAAGCGAAGGAAAGCCAAGCGAAGAGCGGCGGATGGGATGAGATGAGATATGCAATACTTTTACATATACGTAGTACATACACATCTATACACATACACATACATACACACACACACATATACATACACATACATACAATGATAGTAAGTAAGTAAGTAAGCACAGACAGAGAGAGAGGCAGAGAGGCAGAGGCGCCAGGAAGAAAACGCGTGCGGAGTTTATAATTTTTATTCGATTCTATTTTATTCTATTTTATTCTATTTTATTCTATTTTATTCTATTTCATTCTATTTCATTCTCTTTTATTTTCTTTTATTCTCTTTTATTCTTTTTTATTCTTTTTTATTCTCTTTTATTCCTATTCTATTCCATTCCATTCCATTCCAGCCCGCAGAGAACCAACCCATCTAGGTATCCATCCGACATCCGTCCAGTCGTCCGTCTATCCATGCAGTGTTAGTTCAGTTCACATCCAGTGTGTGTTAGTTTAGTTTAGTTTAGTTCACCCCTCCTATCCGGTGTTAGTTCACCCAGTGGTTAGTTTAGTTCACCTACTCACCCACCCACCTACCCACCCACCGGCAGCAGCAGCAGCGAAACGCATCAACGCATCAATCAACACAGTCCCTCAACATCGCACTCGCACTCGCACAACCCCCCCCCCCCCCCCCCCCCAAAAAAAAAAAACACGCACACACAGACAAGAGCGTGTGGGTTAGCTTGGCTCAGGTCGAATCGGGTTTGACTTCGTTTTACTTCGTTTAACTTCCTTTTACTTCCCTTTACTTCCCTTTACATCATCATCATCATCATCATCATCATCATCATCTCCATCATCTTTATCATCATCATCTCCATCATCAACCAAAAACAAAAAACAGAGATAGCACGTAATTTGATTTGATTTTAATTAGATTTCGATTTGATTTTCCCCCTCTCGCCCGGCTCCATCCATCCATCCATCCCAAAAGCTAGCTAGCTATGCGCAATTTGAACAAAGAAAAAAAAAGAAAAAAAAAAACTAACCTTCTATACACCTAGTAGACGAGATGCGCTCATGCCCTGTTGATAGGCTTATGTGGTAGGTGGGGGGGGGGAATATATATGTGTATATAAGTGTATGTGTATGTGTATATTTATATGTTTGTTTACAAGCAAGTTGGGGGAGGGGAGGAGGAGAAGGAGGAGGAGGAGGAGTCTCCGTATCCATCTCGCTACGCCCGCCACGCTCGCTACGCCCCGCAGCGCCAACCAGGTCGAGCGACAATGAGAAATGAGAAGCTAGACGGCCATCAGCTCCTTCAGGGACTGGCCCTTGCCAGACCAGATGCCGCAGCGGCGCTTGACGGCCTTCCAGCCCTCGACGGCGGCCAGGTAGAGCAGCAGGGCGGCGAGCACGACGCCCCACTCCCAGCCGATGGCGGCGTGCTTGAAGACGGTCGCGTTGACGCGCGGGATGTAGATGGCGGGGAAGGTGACGGCGAAGCCGCCGACGACGGCCCAGAGCAGGAAGCGGTTGGCGCGGAGGGCCGGGCCGAGGGCGCCCGGGCCCCAGCCGAAGCGGTGCGGGTCGAGCGCGAAGAGGCTGCGCCCGAAGTGCTTGACCTCCCAGGCCGTGACGAGCAGGATGCAGCTCAGGAGGGCGAAGACCGTGGCCCGCCCCCGGAACACGCCCGAGCAGCTGCCGTTCCAGCCCGCGTTGCAGTCGAGGCCGAGGGCGCGGGCGCCGGACCCGGAGGAGTCGGGCCCGAAGACCACCGCCGCGAAGGAGCCGAGGCAGAGGATCCCCGCCCAGCTGCCGTAGAGCATCTTGTCCGTGATGAGCTCGCGGCTGAAGACGCCGGTCGTGCGCGGCGGCCGGGTCATGATGTCGGCTTGCGCTTCTTCTAGCCCGAGACCGAGCGCGAGGAAGGAGGACGTGACCATGTTGACCCAGAGGATCGCGAGCGGCGACAGGGGGAAGACGGAGTGCCCGTCGGCGTCTTGGAAGGCGAGGGCGATGAGCAGCAGGATGACCTGCGAGATGTTGGAGATGAGGAGGTGCATGAGGAACTGGACAGGGAGCCAAGCCAGCCGCTGTTAGCGAGAAATTCCTGTACTGGGCACGGGCCGTGAACCCGGGGGGGGGGTAGACGATGACGGTGTGATGATGCGAGGTGAGGTGTGAATTGGATCGGGGTTACTTTACCTTCTGTATGTTGTCGAAGAGGCGCCGCCCTTCCTCCACGGCCTTCACGATCGAGGCGAAGTTGTCGTCGGTCAACACCATGTCGGCAGCGTCCTTGGCGACGTCCGTCCCGTTGATGCCCATGGCGATGCCGACGTGGGCACGTTTCAGCGCCGGCGCGTCGTTCACCCCGTCTCCCGTCATGACGCAGAAAGCCTGGCGGCGACTCAGTGCGTCGACCATCCGGACCTTGGTCGCGGGGCTGCACCGGGCGAGGACCAGCGGGAGAGATGGCAGCGCATCGATCTCGGCATCGGACAGCTTGTCGAAGTCCTGCGCGCCCATCACGGCCTGGCTCGTCTGGGAGGACGGGTCGAGGATGCCCACCTTCTGGGCAATGGCGGTCGCGGTGCTCAGGTGGTCTCCCGTGAGCATGTGGACGACGATGCCCGCGCCGTGGCACTTCTGCACGGCGCCGAGCGTCTCGACCCGGGGAGGGTCGTAGAGGCCGACGAGACCTTGCAGGGTGAGATGCGACTCCATCAGAGTTCGGTCGCTCAGCGCGGCCTCGTGTTCCTCCGGAACCGTCTTGCTGGCGATCAGGAGGACACGGAGACCCTCGCTGGCGAGCTGCTCCATCACCGGGACGATGGCATTCTCCTCGTCCGGCGTGATATCTATGATTGGCAGGATGGATTCCGAAGCCCCCTTGGCGAAGACTTCGAGGTTTCCCGTGCTTTCGTTCTTGAAGGCGACGGACATCCTTTTGAGGCTCGAGTCGAACTGGTGCTCGATCGCTGCTGGCATGCGGTGGGGGCCATTCCGCGCATGCATCTCCTTCCCACGACCAAACCTCATCGCGAGGACCTGCAGGGCGATCTCCGTTGGGTCGCCTACGGCAGTCCATCCCCCCGGCGCCGGGTCGAGAGGCTTCTCCTGGACCGGGGCGTTGCTGGCATCCACGGCGCTGGTTTGGAAGACCGTGGCGAAGTTACAGAGAGCGACTGCGTCGAGGACAGGGATCAGGCTTGTAAATCTGGCCTGGGAGGTGAAGTCCAGCCTGTCGAGTGGCTCCCCGTCCAGTTCCAGTTGTCCATCGGCTGGATCGAGGATGTTGGTGGTATCCTTGACGCTGAGCATGCCCACGCCGGGAACATAGACTTTGTGGGCGACCATCTTGCCCTGGGTGAGGGTACCTGTCTTGTCGGAACAGATGTTGGTGACACCTCCGATGGCCTCGAGGGCGGCCATCCGTCGGATGACAACATTGCCCCGGGCCATGGCTTTGATGCCGACAGCAATCGTGATGGTCATGACTGCGATCAGCGACTCCTAGTCGAACACGACGAAAGTCAGTAAGTGATCAACTGTCTAATGTTCAAAAATTGGAGAACAAAAAAACCTATAGAAAAAAAATCTCGATAATTTTTTTTCTTTCTTTCCTTCCCCGGAGAGGGTTCTCAAATTCGGAATGAACAAAAGAATGACTTGGGCCTCTGCCCACCACCACGTACGGGGATGACGGCAACCGCCACCACGATGCCGTAGAGAAGGACCTCGTTGTTGACCTGCCACTTGTTTGCCGAGAAGACGATGATGGCCAGCGTGACGGCCAGGCAGAAGAGCAGGATGGCGAACTTGGAAAGCTTGACTTGCAACGGGGTCCCGGTCAAGCCCAAGATACGCTTGAGTGTACGGCCGAGCTTCTGGAAGAATCGCACGCGGGGACTGGCACTGGTTGGCTTGATATCGTCGCCGCGAAGGAGGTACGCCACACTTCCGACCTGGGTCTTCATCCCGGTCGCGACCACGATGCCAGAGCCCCGGCCGCGCGTCACGGTGGTCGCGGAGTAGACCATGTTGACCCGGTCCCCAATCGACGTGCCTCCATTCCCGTCGAGGATGCCGTCGGCACGCTTGGAGGCCGGCAGTGACTCCCCGGTCAGTAAGGCCTCATCGACCTCCAGGTTCGCGCTCTCGAGGAGGCGGAGGTCGGCCGGGACGGTGACGCCGGTGGCGAGCTTCACCACGTCGCCCACGACCAGGGTCTCGGCCTTGACGATTTCGATCTTGCCGTTGCGGACGACCTGGGAAGACGGCGCGGCGAGACTGAGGAGTGATTGCATCGTCTGTTCCGCACGGAGGTCCTGGACGAAGCTAATTGCCAGTCAGTCAGTCAGTCAGCCAGGCAGCCCCCCCTCTCCCTCCCAGGTAACCTGGTCACGATGAGATCGTTCGTCGCGCTTTACCCACCCCAGGATCACATTCATCAGGATGACGGCCGTGATGACGCCGCCTTCGATGAAATCGAGCGTGCCGTACGAGAGCGCCATGGCAACGAGCAAGACCTGGATAGCCACCGCACACCCACACCGTCAGAACACGGCGCACGTTCAGCATCTGGAGATGCGGGGGTGCACTTACGATCGTCAGGCTGTTGGAAACCTGTCGGAGCAAGACTTCCACGATGGAGACCTTGCCCGACCCATCGATCTTGTTGGCGTCCCCCCGTTCGAGGCGGGCCGTCGCCTCTGAGGAAGAGAGTCCCTGTCTGCGCTCACGCTCATATTCAGCCGAGTAGTTCAGGAGCCACGGGCGTACGGAGGTCCCATGGGAATCCGCCGCCGCCGCCGCCGCCGCCGCCAGCAAGAACTTACCGAGGATCGACGCCTAAGAAGGACGCCACGAGGGTTCCATCGACGGCGTGGGCCGTGTCCGGCTTGCCGTCCCACGACGACTTCGACGACGACGTTGACGCGGACGTTGACGTTGACGTTGACGAGGTGCATGAGCCGTCTCTACTCCCCAGGCCGACCACACTGTTGATGGCGGTCGCATCGTCGTGCAGCATCAGCCCCTCTCGGTCGAGGGTTTCAAACGTGGGGATGGCCGGCAGTTGTAGAGGAGGCTCTCCCAGATCCTGCATCTCCGACTCCGTGGCGATGATGGACTGGTGGCCGTGCTGCTGGACGACGTTGCCAGTAGGTGCGTGAGTCGAAGGAGAAGAGGTTTGGGGGGGGTTTCCGTGGGGGGGGGGAGGAGGGGGAGTTCTTTTTTCTTCTTCTTTTCTTTTCTTTTCTTTTCTTTCCTTTTCTCTTCTTTACTTTTCCTTTCCTTTCTTTTCCTTTCCTTTCCTTTCCTTTCCTTTCCTCTTCTCTTCTTTCCTTTCCTCTTCGGTCAAAGCAGATTGAATTATATTATGCAGAAAAATCCCAAAGAAGAGTCAAGAAGGCAGGGAAGTTCCGTATACATACCTAGTTGTACCTACATACAAACTACGGACACACTCTCGGCAACAAGGAACCGCCAAGCCCAACGATCCCCATTGGCACATTGGCACGAAGGACGATCAATTTATCTATCTACGGTACCATCATCCCAAGGACGGGGGAAGCTTTACCTGCGGTGCTCATCTCCAGCGTCCCCCCCCCCCCAAAAAAGGGGGAAAATTACTTTGCTCGTGCGGCCAGCCCAATTACCGTCTCCCCATCCTTTAAGCCCTGCTGCCGATGGATTAGGATAGGTACTAGTACTACGTCGTCCTAACGCTCTGGTGATATACTGCCAAGTGGGCGCCGGCGGAAATTTAAATTTGCTGCCACAATCCCGCCAGAAAGGATTCGCGACCTAGGTATGGATACCCAGTTCGATATCCTTAACCTGGCCGGGACCGGTTTGTCGAGCCACATTACGAAGGATAAATTCGCTAATGAGGGAAATCTTAACCTTAACACTTCCCCCCGGCCCAGCATCCGTATGGGGGGCGTGGCAGGGCATGGCATGTCCTGACGCCGGGCCCACACGTGATACCGCATCCGGAATGTTCCTCAGTCGACCTGACCTCCAACATCAGCTTTGCTCGCTGCAAGGATTAAGGGACTACGTACGTAGTACTACGTACGTAGAAGCTTTGCAGTTGCGCATATCGCCTCTGATGAAGAGTCGAATCTCGAACTTTCGGCTTCGAAGTGCAAGCGGCGACAAGGGCGCTATTTCCTCCCCTTCTCTCCGTCTCTCCTACTCCCCTTCTCTCCTTCTGTCTACGGCGGCTGCGCAGCGAAGGAAAATGCCGCCCAAATCCTTATTTCGCATCGCAAAGTCAATCACGTCAGCCCGTTTTTTTTTTTTTTTCCCTCTCCTCCGGCTCCGGATCGCACGTACTACCGGTACGTAGGTACTATACTACGACCACGTACTACTACGTAGTACTACGTAGGATGACAGTGAGATTTGGGGTAGGGATTTCCCGGATATGTCCTTATTTTGGGCGTCCCGTAGGGAGCAGTTACATCATTCCCCGTCCGGAGTAATCGTCGGGCTCGCTTAGATGGGCCGATCCGCAATGGCTCCTCCCCCTACCTACTCCAAGACAGGAAGGATGCATGAATGGAGAGGCCCACTCGAGCGAGCCGACGACGATACGTAGTATTTAGGATGATTGTTCTTGAGAGGGACTCGATGGCCGCTTTGCTATCTTTGGTCGCCTCTCCCACTCGCGACATAGGTGCGTCTGCTGCTGCGAGCTTTGGACCACAGCCCTCTTCTTCCCACCCACCGTCTCTCGGGCCAGTATCGAGGGGATAATCGAGCGCTTGCTCTGTCTGCCGTCTGCGGAGGCACACTCGGTCTGGACCTCCAGCCTCCGGGAACAAACACGGTCTCCTGCACAGCTTCTCCTCGGGCCCCTTCCCGCCTCGGACCGATCTCCTTCCCAGCGCTCATACACAGCCTCCCTCCCTCCCTCCTCTGCCGCCCTCCTCCGCGACATTCGGCCGTTTCCACGTGGCACGAATACCAGACCCGGCTCATCGTGTCGCAGAGATCTGGCGCGTCTGCACAAGAGCGCTCTCTGACCACACCAGGGGCGATCCGGACTGCGCTCGCGGGAGGGGATGAGGGCGCGGTGGCTGGAGGCGGCGACGGGGAGGCCCCTCTGGGAATAGCCTCAGGTTAGCGCGGGTGGGCGACGGTGAGGTTGGGGGACCGTAGGTAATGTTTACGCGATGGGAATGGGCCGCGGTCTAGACGGGACTGGCTCATGGTTAACCAGTAATTAATTACAGTAAGAGCGCGAGCTTAATCGGCAGGGCTGCCTCCCTCGGCCGTCCTGGTTCACATTTCTGATGCATAAATCTGGGCGTCCTCGACCTGGACAAACTCTACGTAGATATGCACGCCCCGCATGCGCATGAAGGTGCATACTGTACAAGTAGTAGTAGTAGTAGTAAGTGCATCCCATCTGCCTCTGCATACCGGTATCCAGATGGATCGTCTCCGCTGGCGCGACGTTATGGGCAGGTACGGACGGGATGGTTGATCTTCAACCTCGACGGCTGGGAAGAGGAGAGAACGGGTGGACTGGTGCGTCTGGCTGGCTGACTGGCTGACTGACTGGCTGACTGGCTGACCGGCGGCGGCCTTGAGCTTCGATTGGTGAGATGCCAGCCAGCCAGCCAGCCAGCCAGCCAGCCAGCCAGCCAGCCAGCAAGCTTTCTTGGTGCTGCGTGAAGAAGCCAGCTGTCAGAAAGACGAGCTAAGCTCCAAGTCGCCTAACGCTGCTTGATTGGGGGCTTCTGATTGGGGGCTTCTGATTGGGGCCATTCTGACGTACCGGTAGGTACACGACCTGTGACGTACTGTATGTATGTATGGCCCGGGGTGGCGGTGGCGGTGGCGGGTGGGGAAAACGAGGAGAAGAACTCTGTAGTGGTAGTAGTACGTCGTAGTACGTACGTAGTACGTCGTAGTACTGTACTAGTCCATGTCGGACCCATGATCGTCCAGGCCCATACTGTAAATCGTCCTGTCGAGCGGTGGTGGTTTCGGAATGGCTCAACGGCCCTGTCAACTAACTCACTAACTCCCTTGCACAGACTACTAGGACAGTAAGTACTGAGCTAAATATACGACGTACTCTTTCAAGGCGGGATTCTTATCCGCTGTACTACGTACTACGTACGTTGATTGGTGCCAGTCAGCCCTGGTAAGTAAGATCCCTTGCGAGATTATAGTGGTAGTACCTACTACCTACTTTCGACAAGTATGTAATCGAGCCCAATCAGACCCAAGCCCATTGTAATCCTACCTACGGTATACCGGTACCTACCTATACCCTCCCCGCTACTTCCTCCTCCGCGCGCCCAAACAGACACCCCCATCTCCAACGGTCCTCTCGCCCTTTCTCTACGTACCGGTACGTACGTACGTACTACGCATATCAGCAGCCGGCCATCAGTTCCACCGTCCTGCGCGCAATCCCGCAACAGCCTAGCTAGCTCATCTCATCTCATCTCATGCCGGTCGCCCATCCCATTGCCCAAGCCCCGCCCGCATACAAGTACCTACGTATAATATATAATGTATAATATATAATAATATATAATAATATATATAATATATATAATATATATAATATATATAATATAATATAATATAATCCTCTCCCCGCCGTCTCTTTCGTTCCCGACCGCGGGCTTCGTGCAGACTTCGTCTTGGGATTCCCACTTCCACTTCCACTTCCTCGTTCGCATTCGCATTCGCTTTTCAGATCTCAGATGTGATGCCGCGGGTCGCGAGAGTGGAAACCATGTGCTTGTTATAGTACTGTTGTTGGGGGTTGTGTGATGGATAGGTAGGTAGGGGGGTAGGTAGGTACGTACATGCTAAGTGAGGTGTTTTCCGCCGTGTCGCGACGGTATCGCCGGTGTAGCGGTCGCTCTTGTTGGTAATCGAATCGCGAATCGCACATCGATCGTTTGAGCATGAGTGTGTGTGAGTGTGAGTGTGCGTCTACCTAGCTTCCTCGTCACCGGGCCGTTCCCTCGCGCGTGTGTGTGATGGGGAATGGGGAGAGAGAGATGTATATATAAAAGGAAGGAAGGGAAATAGACGCATAAGCGTATCGCTACATGTATATATATATATATATATTATTTTTTTTTTTCTCTTTTTTTTTT